GTCATGTGGGGCAGTGTGGATACACAGAGCACTTCTCTCACTGAGAAGGGTCCACGGAACCAAGCTCCACAGGGTGTGGAACTGAGCTAGGCTTGTGTGCAGACTGGCCCCCACACTGGTGTCCCTGGACTACTACAAAGGGAAAAAGGAGAAGCAAGTCCTGGAATCTCGTGGATTTTCTTCATTTACTAACATCTCCAAAGAAAGAGCAGCAGTTTTCGTCTCTATAAACAGTCACCGTGTGCCTATCTTTTATTTAGCCGCCAATACAGAGAGGGTCAGTTGGTCTATCTGCTTTAACCCAGCATCTCAGCTCTGTAAATATCTGCTAAGATGCATCTCCTGATGACCTTTGTGGAAGGCCTGACTCAGAGCTTTGTCTCAGCTGCAAATTCACGACCCCTCCCGATTACTTACAGAGTTGATAGGAGCTTGAAAGAACGTGACAATGTGGGTCCATAGTAGGTGTCATGTATTTAAGTCTTTTCTTCAACATGTATCTTTTACTTTTAACAACTAAACAGAAAAAAGAGTTTTGAAGAGCTCTGGAAAGGTGTAGATGTTTGCACGAGTAGAGAGCACAGTACATATTATGATGAGGCTCCTGAGCAGGGCTGCCACCTTGCAGGAGAGTGACCTCAGGGTTTTCAAATCCCTGCTGTGGGGCAGAATTCAGAGGCAGGGTGCCCTTTTGCTTGGCCCAGACAAACTTAAGTCCATCAGACCGTGGGTCTGCGTGTCCACACTTGTCAGTGTGACTGAAGCACAGTCAGAAAGGAGATGAGAATTTTAACCTGAAAATGGGATTAACTGGTTTCACTTGATTTTTAAAAATGAGACTCTCATTCCTTAAAGCCCCCCCCCATCCAAACAGACACACATACACACCCTAAAACCACCACTTATTACTTCCACCAAATCATTACATAACCATAGTGGGCCGGCTATCACAGGAAAATAGTTTTTACCACAGCTTATCTTGCAAGCAGAAATGAAGCAGGGGAGTGGGAACACTTAGGCCTATTTCCGTTACTGTTACAGGATATTTGGTTCTCAGTGGTGGGTTTTGCATTAAATTCTAATGGTTTAGAATATACATTAAGCAGGAATAAGTACAAAATAACAGTCTACTTGTAATAAGCATAATATGTACTGTCATAATAGCCACAAGGAACTAATATGTCAGTAAGTATAAGAGCTCATTTGGCTGCCTGTGACCCCAAGCAGGGGTATGGGTTCTCCAGGTACGTGGGGTACACAGTGAGGTGCTCTGTGTGTTACAGGATGTCTTAGTGAGAGGAACTTACATAAAGCTCAATAGTTGTATCCCTAAGCAAATTGTCAATTTTGCCTTAGCATGAGCAATTAAACCAGAAAATATACTTTTTTATTAATGTAAAGCTAGACTTATTAAAAGTAATATATATCAAACTACCATTTCATGATAATTGAATTAGCACACTGTAATTTTTCTTTACTTTGCCTCAATGTGTTTATTACAATGAAAAAAAAAAAAACTACGACAACAAACCAGCAGGTTTTTAAAAGCATATTATCCTTAATCCATTAATTAATCAGCCTAGTTATTACTTAAATCATGTTTGGAAGAAAACTAGTCCCACTGCCGTTCTTCTTTTAAATGAATACAACTAAGTATCTAACAGAAGCAATTTTGACTCACAACAGTTGCAGTTGTAACAAAAATACAGTTTGAGTTATTTCCCAACCTCATTTGGTGTCTATATAAATTAAAATCTCAGGAATTATAAGACCCATTTCTGTGAAACAACTGCAAATTCTACGTTATTTTCAAAACTAGTATTATTAAAAATATAAAGAAATAATTTATAAGTGTCACCAAGAACCTAACGGTTCTGATGTTTTGGTTTTAGTGGCAAACTCTATAAAAGATTATGTGCTTAAAACTTGTGTTTATCTATAAAATGTTAAGGATGGTGGTCCTCCCTGGTGGCGCTCTGCAAGCTAGCCACAGCCACTTCAGTGTGAGTTCGATCCCTAGCTCCAGAGGTGATCCACA